GGGGGGAGGGAGGGGGGGGAGCGACCCGTTTATTCACCGCCGAGTAAAACAGGGGGGGGGGTACCAAAACAAAAGACCTTTAGAGGTTATTCCCCCTGTAGAGGGACAGGCCCGACTGAACCCTTGGCCAGGGCTGGAACGGAAACGGGACCTCATACAGGGGGATCTTGGACGAAAAACAAGAAGAAATCAAACATACGCATAAAGAACCAAACGAACAACCATACAATTTGTTCACCCTGTAAGGGGGCCAGGCCCGACTGAACCCTTGGCCGGGACGCGGGACGTGGCCGCACGGGGCTGGCCCCACTCTGCAGGGCCTCCGGCGCGCGCTCGGGGAGATCGGGGGGGTCCAAACCTTAGAGCGGGCCCGGGAGACGGCAGTGCCGCTTCTAGGGGGCCGCGTGCGAACCCTACCCCATACCCCCACGACTTCTGAGGGGGAGGGTTCGCATGGGGCCCCCTAAGGGCCGTTGTTCCACCATTTCCGAAAAAGCGTCTCTTGACAGGGGAGACGGCACAAAAAGCGGCGACCGGAAACGGCAAAAGGCGGCTCCAGGAAGGGACCCCCGGCCAGAACCGGCAACGAACAAACGGCGACGGAACGGGTAGAACAACGGCGTCGGAACCGGCAAAAAAAAACGGCTGAACGGAACCAGTAAACGGAAACGGCCGTCGTTTCCAGAGCCCACTAAGTTTGCGGATGCCATGGCTATGGACACTCTAACAATCCGATCATTGAATTTAACATGAGTTTCACATGTAGGAAACGTGTTCTAAACATATTTCAAGCATGTTTTCTACATGTCATGTTTAACACATGTCTTAGACATCTGGACACTATTTGGCAACTTGCTTCCTCTCCATTGATCGTCTTCCACAACACGAAGGTCCAAGCGTGGTCAAGGCCGCGGGCCTATAGGGCTTGGGGGGGTCGGGGCGGCAAGCCCCGGGCCCAGCGCCTCGCGCGCAGGGACTGGGGCCGCGCCGCTTCGGGCCCGGCCGCCGACGGCCTGGCCTCAGGTCGGGCGCGTCCCCGAACTGGCGGATTTTGGGCGGAAAATTAAGAATACCAAAGCATGTTCCCAAACATCTACAAAATTGTGGAAAATCGTCCCCATACTATTCTTTGACTCTTTTTGGATATCCCTCCCGTAGGGACAGGCCCGACTTGAGCCTAGCCGCCGAAGCGTCTAACCGCAAGACGACGCATGCAACATGTAAAAAAGGTGTCCGCCGCGCGCGGCAAGAACGTTGAGGTCTGTCGCGCGGGGCACGGGTCGCGCTGCTTGCCCTGGAGCTGGCGCCCGCCGGTTCTCGGGATGGTCGTTCGCCAGTTCTCGGGGCGGTCGCCTGTCAGCCGTTCGCCTTGCCAAACCTGGGCCCGGTCGCCCGCCGGTTCTGGGGCTGGTCGCCGGCATGTGTTCAGGATTGTCGCCCGCCGCCAAGCCCCAATGATTTGGTTTCGGTCACCTGCCAAATCTTGGCCAGGTTGCCCACCACTCGACCAAGGGCTTTTATAGCGCATAACAAGTATCCGATGCCTTCTGCATCGCAAGCACAACTTATCGAGATCGAACGTGCCACCTGCGAAGCACAACGAAGTGTTTCATGGCGCGCACGTGGTAGAGCCACGGAGCCCGACGGTAGAGCACATGTGGGCGTACATGACATCGGGCTAGTTTCATGGTGCATCGGAAAGTCTGAGGTTTCATGACGCGCGCCACTAATCCACACACAACCCATATAGAGACCTTCATGGCGCGCAAGCATAACGTCGAGGAGCCCCATGGCGCACACAGGAACAATCAAAGTCGGTCGTAGCATAATCGTAAAACTTCGATGTGTTCTTCGAATTCCGCACGAACCGTCAAAGTCGTAACTGAATTCGGACAGAGGGTACCGACGCGAACAGCAGGTGCATGAAGCATCAGTTGCGTCGATCGGAATTTCAGTCCATTGCCCATGGCACTCGGGGCGAATTCATGTATTCATTCATGCCAGCGGAAAAACGCGTCAATGCCGCGCGTCCCCAACACCCCACGGCCCGCCAACATGCGGCCCGCTCACACCCTGGAGCTGGGTGAAAAACCCCAACCAGAGACAACTCCCAGAGGGGGAGGTTCCAGCCGGGGAGGCTGAAGGGGGCCCACGGGAGACGTGCGTGACCCGAGGGGGCAGGAAGAGGGGCACACATTCAAGCCTTGTCATCGCCCCCCGTTTGGCCGCCGACGTGCTGCGGACGCACATGCCGCTACAGAGGCCGAGGCGCGCCCGGCCTGTACGATTGGCGGGCGGCGGAGGCGAAGACACGAGCTGGGCAGGGACCGACCGTCCCGGCATTCCTACAGGCCTACTACGACATGTTCTCAGAACCCAAAATGTTCCAATAACCCAAACAATCTTCTCGGAGCAGAAACCCGATGTTTTTAAACAAGACGTACTCAAACCGAAATGATCTAAGAACTCAAACAATGCTCTTAGAGCATAAGCCAGTCTCAGCCGGACATGTTCTGAGAACATTTCGTGCAGACCACACAAGCTTATTCGAACATTCTTTGGTAGGCTTCTGCAGGACGCTTCGCCACTGCTTGAACGAGGGTAAGCATCCACTCCTCGAGGGCACTCACGCGCCACCCTGCGTGAGAAGCTCACGCTCGAATCTCTGCGCAGGCCACCCCACTTTCACGTCGGGCACGTCCCCCCTACAAACGGAGTTTGGACGAAAACGTAAAACATAGTCGAAAACATGTCAACACATGCTCAAACACATACTCAACACTATCGTCGCCAGACTATCTGTGGACTATTTTTTGAACATCCCCCCTGTGGAGGCACGGGCCCGACTTGCCCCCACCTCCCTGCGTCGCTCGCACGTGGCCACGAGAAGAGAGCGGGAGCGTCCACGGCGCCGAGGGCCCCAGGGCCCCCCCCGAGGACATGCCCCGGGCCCCCCCAAAAAGCAGTCCGAGGTGGAAGGCCTCACCGCGGAGGACAGAGCCGGGCGCTCGCAGGACCGGGTTTCGGGGGGCCTGGCTTGGCGATGTGTTTGCGGGGGGACGGCCTCCCCGCCCCGTTCCACCCACCGGAACTGCCGTCGCCTGAAGAAACACCAACTGCGGCAGACCTGGTTCAGTGATTCTGGCCAATTCAGGGGCTCTGGGGCCCTACCACTGACCCGATTCCCCTGCACCCGACATAGGGTTGAGCAGGGACCGGCCGTCCCGGCATTCCTACAGGCCCACCACGCGGTCTTCTCAAAAAAATGCTCTGGGAGCAAAGGCAGCGTTCGCAGAACATGCACCCGATGCGTCGTTAAAGCAGGACGGTCCCAGCCAGATATGTTCTAAGAACATCTCGTGGAAGACACACACGGTTCTTAGAACATTGTTTGGTAGGCTGGGAGCAAAGGCAGCGTTCGCAGAACATGCACCCGATGCGTCGTTAAAGCAGGACGGTCCCAGCCAGATATGTTCTAAGAACATCTCGTGGAAAACACACACGGTTCTTAGAACATTGTTTTTGTAGGCCTACAGGCACACCAGGACGCTTCGCCACTGCTGGAAAGGTTACCACTCCTGGGCTGGGGCTGTTCTCGACCCTCTCGTGCCAGCTGCACTGCACCTGAAGCAAAAACTGCATGAGCAGACACTGTTGGAGTGAGGTCGGGCGTGTCCTCCTACATGGGGCTCTGGGACGAAGAATGAACAATACCCAACACGTGTTCGAACATAGCCAAACATGGTCAACAAAAACATCGTCCCCCGACTACTTTTTGGACTATCTTGGAATCTTCCCCTGCAGAGGGAGAGGCCCGACCTGAGCACAAGCAGAAGCTGTTGGAGGTCCACGGCGACTTCTTGGATCGGCGCTGGGCCCCTCTTGGCGCGCCTGGGGGCGGCGCTAACAAAAATCGCGCGAGCCTCCAGAAGGCAGAGTAGGGTGAGTTTTTTTTTTTTCGACATCAGGCGGAGAGGGGGGGAGGGAGGGGCGGGGGGTCTGGCTCCAGACCTCTGCGTAGTGCGACTGTTTGCAGAGTGGGGTCCTGTGAGGGGAGACTCCACCTGCTGAAACGGGCGCCCAAAACAGCCAAGATCTACTCCAGGGGGGCGGGGAGGGGGGGTGCGAGGGCCGACGCCGAGCGGCAAAACAAGGAATAACAAACGATCACTATGGTCCTGGTGATGCCGTGGTTGTTTATTTGTCCTTCGATGGCCAAGCGCGGGCAGGGGAGGCAGGGATGCAAGGCTGGCCTTCGGTCAGGCATGTCCTCTGACACGGGGATCTTGGACGAAAAATGAAGAATAGCACAACAATCTTTGAAAAGAATCAAACATAGTCAGAAACGGTCCCCAGACTATTATTTGACTATTTTTGAATATTCCTCTTGTAGAGGGACAGGCCCGACTGAAGGCGGGCTTCGATAAGATACAACGAGAAGTGGCAGTCTGACGCTCCATGAAGGCGGTAGTGGCCAGGGGTAAACGAAAGTGCTGCATGGGGCCGAAGCGCACCCGAAACTGATGGGAGGAGGTCGCTGGGGCTGGAGAAACTTGAGGTCCAGGGCTGGAAGGTGTGGAGGGGCTGGCCCTGGCCGCTTCTTGCAGCTTCCGTGCAATGTATCCGTGCCGCTTGTCTCGCATGTCGCCTGTAGCCTGGACGACCCCGACCAGTACCCACCGGAGCGCAACCCCGGGCGGCACGGCCCCCTCCTCCGGCGGCGCCAGAACGCCCGCGATCTTGGCCAGCGTGAAGGGCCAGCCCGAGGAGTCGAAGAAGTCCGCCAGTCTCCCCCTTCGAGAACACGTCGGCGACAGCGGAGAAGACGCAACAGAAGCTGGGGCGATGGGGTTGCCACTGGGTCGGGCATGTCCCCCTACAGGCGGCTTTCGGAGGGCAATGCCCCGAACAGAATCAACAAATCATGAAAAACAATAGTCCCCAGACTGTTGTCTTTTGGCGTTACTATCTTCGAATGTTGTCCTCCTGTAGAGGGACACGCCCAACTTGGAGCTCCCTGGAGGAGAGCTCCCTGGAGGAGAGCTCCCTGGAGGAGACCTCCCTAGGTGGCAGGCAGAGAGCTCCCTGGAGGAGAGCTCGGGCCCCCCTCCCCGAGGCCTGCAGACGGAGGGCTCTCCGAGGGCCGCGGGGGCCCCCTGCAGTGGCGGGGGGAGGACCTCTTCCCGGGCCTCCGACGATCCGACCACTCCTCCGAGCTGCCCGTTGCCCAGGTCCTGAGATCGTTCTTCGAAAGTCTGGGAGGAGGAGGAGGAGGAGGAGGAGGAGAAGGAGGAGGAGGAGGAGGAGCGAGGGGAAGAAGGAGGAGGTGGAGGAGGAGGGAAGGGAAGAAGGAGGAGGTGGAGGTGGTGGAGGAGGAGGAGGAGGGGGAACGTTCGGGGGGGGGGGGCCCAGCTCATGGGGAGCAGCATCGGGCCAAAGTCGGCGACGCAACGCCGATGGATCTGTGACAGGCCACCAGCACCAAATTCGCGCCTCTCTGAGCGGGGTGGGCCATCGCGCGCCCCTGCCGTCGATCGATGGGCGCATGGAGGTCGATGTGCCTCCCCCTGGCCCCATCCCGTCCCCTCTGTCGTGCGCGCTCCGAACGGGTTACAGGCCACATCTCGGGCATCCGGCGGCCTCTTCGGGACGATCCGGGCAGCCCTGGGCGAGGCGCAGCTGACAGCACGCGCCCCGAGGCGGGAGAACCGCCGAGAGCCGACGAAAAAAAGGCCCGAGTTCCTTGAACCTCGATCGTTTCCTTACCCTCCCAACACGTAGCCTTCCGCCATTGACGCTGTCCCTGAGAGCCAGCCGCATCCTCAGCTTCCGTAGCTCGGCTGTGTATTGAACGTAGATGCGTTGTTCTATCTGGTTGTCTTGGGAAGAATTTCCTGAGATACTGCGCAGACACATTGAACACCTTTGAACCGAGGAATGCCATGTGTCAATTTTTCACAAGCGTACGAGGAACCCACCGGCAGATGCCAATTGTCAACACTTAATGCTGGCGTCGCAAAGACGGCGTGCAACATCGACCTCTGCAAAGCACGCCATCCCTGTGAGGCGAATCCGCTGTAATCCTGTCCGGACCTCCTCGGTGCGCGCTATCCCCAGGGAGGGGGATATGGCGTGAAGTGTGGAAAGCGGGCCAGCGCCGCCACATCGCACGCTACCTTTAGGTTGGGCATGTCCTCCTACAGTTGGAAAACAAAAGAAAATAGGAAAAAAACGCCGAAATGCTCAAAACAATTCGAAAAATCGCCCCTCGACTATTTTACTATTTCTTAATTTTCATCCTGTAGAAAGACACGCCCGACTTAAAGCGACCTTGGCACCGCCAACCGTGCTGCGAACTCCTCTGAGAAGGGGGAAGCTTCTCGGGGGCCCAGCCCTCTCGCGCCGCCAACACCCGTCGCCATCGCTTGCACGTCCATTCCCCTTGCAGGTTTCGAATTCGTGCGTATGTTTTTCTAGTCAAGTAATCCAACAATATGCTCCTCAACAGGGCTGGGCCTAAACGTTGGTTGGCTCTCGCTTTGTTTTTCGTTCTGCTCGACATGCTGTCCTGCATCTCCCTGCCAAAAAGAAAAACAGAACACAGCCGAAGTCCAGCAAAACAACGTTCAGATCCAGCCGACGATTGATTGTGAGATGCACGCGTCCGAGCGACGCCCACGCCGACGATGAAATGCACTCGTCCGAGCGACGCCCAGACCCGAGGCTGCCGCAGCAGGGCAGCTCCGCCGCCGGCCGCGCTCCGCCAACGCCGGCGCACCACCGCTCCGGCACCCAGCCCTCCGAGCAAGACGCGCCCCCCGCTTGAGACAAAGCAAGGACAAGGACGAAGTCGGGCGGGGACAAATCCGGGCCGCCGCCGCCGCCGCCGCCGCAGCCGCCGCCGCCGCCGTCGTCGTCGTCGTCGTCGTCGTCGTCGTCGTCGTCGTCGTCGTCGTCGTCGTCGTTGTCGTCCCCCTTCAGGGTCGGCCGGCGGCACAAGGGACAGAGGCGAACCGGAGACATCTGAGATCTGGCGGTTCTGGAAGATGTATCTGGCGATGCGGCCTTCTCGGAGCATCCCGGAACGCCTGAGCGCGTTCTGGAACCCTCTGTGACGATGTATGCCTGTCATAGCGCCGACCAAGAGATCACGAAACAACGCTTGTTTGTTGGGGGGGGTACGTTAGGGGAGCGCCCAGGGGGTCCGCCGTGGACGAAGTCAAGAAACAACGCTTTGATGCCAGCGGAAACACGGAAAGAGTGGGAGAAGGCACATTAGAACTGGGAGAGTTCCATGCCCTGGCCAAGCCAAATTTCCGCCCGTGTTGGAAGTACATTGGGTCCCCACTCGAGAGGGGGGAAACATGAAAACCGCTTGACACCTGAAGTAGATGAACCTGATAATACAGAGGGCACCTACTCTTTCGACCACCGCTGACCTCGAAATACACCCCAATACCTGACTACACTGTCCGTCACCGCACGAGACATGCTCGGAGAACGACCCAAGTCTAGGCGGCGCGCCCATGGGAAAGCGAAAAGGGGCAAGCCTTCTCAGAAGGCTCGGAAGCTCCCCGAACTTGTTAGAATTATCTAAGCCAAAGGCCTTCCGAGCAGCCCCGCCGCCTTCTGAGAAGACCTTCTCCTCCTCGCTTCCCCCCCCTTGCCGGCCGCCGACAATCCCGAACAGTGCGGTGTATCGGCGATGTATCGGCGATGCATCGGTGACGTCTGCAATGCATCGGCGACAGGGTCGTGGGGAAAACGGCCTCCACATCGAGCGGCATCGTCGATGCATCGGCGATGCGGCGCGATCCTCCGACCCCATCTACTCCGACCCCATCTATCGGGGGCGGCCAAAAGGGGGGTGTCCAAGAGGGGGGGGGCAAATCATGGCCGGCGGCACGTGCGCGGCCTAAGGGGAGGGGGGGGGGCCAGGGACGTGATGAAATAAGAAGAGGCGCCATGAAATCTGAGGAAAAAACATGGCCCACACCCTGAAATCCCCCCCCCCTCAAACACCACCCCCCACTTTGCCGCCCCCGAATCTAGGAGGCCGGAGAAGTCTTGGGGGGGCCCGGGGACTTTGGACACCCGAAATGGGTACCGAAAGAATGGGTACAATGCCCAACAACAAATGTTGCCCCAAGCCAACAGCGGCCGCTGTTGGGCGGGCGGCCTCCTGTCTCGAATGGACACAGGCCGCGGCGGCGTGGACAGCGAATCCTGTTCAGAATGAGCAGGAACTGCTGTTGGGCATCGTACCCATTCTTTCCGTGCCCATCTCGGATCGAAAAGGAGGGAGATGATCGAGGAGGAAAAGAATCCATGAGGATCGGAGAGGAAGGGGAGGAGGATCGCGGAAGAGGAGGAGGAGGAGGAGGAGGAGGAGGAGGCGGAGGAGGAGGAGGAGGCCGGAGAAGTCTTGGGAGGGGCCCGGGGACGTGCTGCCAGCGGCGGAGGAGGCGCGCCGCCCGGCGAGATCGAGGCAGTTGTTCTTCACGAGCAGCAGGAGCCTGGCGCGGGCGGCCGCAGCGCACGGCCCGACCGCGCGGGGCGGCGAGCCAAAACGGGTCCTGCGCGAGATGGCGTAGCGACCCTACGCCCTCCTCCTCCCTCCCTCCCTCCCTCCCTCCCTCTCCTCCTCCCTCCCTCCCTCCCTCCTCCCTCCCTCCCTCCCTCCCTGCGAGCGTTGGGAGCGTTGCGCGGGCCGCTGGCGCGGCACGCTACGCTTGATGCCAAGGCGCTTTCACGCGAGCTTGCGCGGGGAGCCTGCGCGCGACTGTCGGCGCTGACGACCCCGTCGTTTTTGTTGCGTCGACCACGCGCCGCCAGCACACCGCACCCGCCTGAACGACGAAAGGCGCAGGTCTTGCGCACGATGGCACGCAATGTTCACAGGAGAACATGTTATTATCCTCTTTTCCACATCCCTCCTCCTCCTGGACAAGCCTCCCAGTCCTTTTCCCCATACGAATAGCACAGCGGTCCTGAAGTTATCGAAAGCTGTCCCAGGAGCTTCGGGTGTTCGTAGACGGGGGGGGCAATCATCATGGGGCGACAAACTCGCCATCGCTCGGACGTCCATTCCCGTGCATTTGTCGGTTGCGTATGTGTTTTCTGGCCCGATGATCCAAGCAACTCCTCGATGGTCCTCGCCGAGAAAAACTGCACACGTCCGAACGAGGCCGCGTCAAATGGTAACCTTTGTGTTCATGTTGGCCCGCGCTAGACGTCTAGATGGCCTGAGGGCCACCAGCCGCCCGCCAAAAAAGGTGTCAGGCTGTTGCCGGAGCCTGGGATGGCTCCCTGTCAGCTACGCCTCGTCACTGGAGCTCCGGGGGTGCCCGCATCGTCCCAATCGGTCGGACGCATGAGGCCCGAACTGCATCGCAGGAGAACAGCCGGAGGAGGGCCAGTCGAGACAACGGTGGCCCTCCCTGGCTCCGTCACCTTCCTCCGTGGGCCTCCTTGGAGCTCCTCTCGTCGCCGCGGCTGGCTCCGCCTCGAAACGCGGGTCGGGATTAGAGGAAGAGACAAACACATGCACATAAACTGTCGACGGTCCGCGCGGAGTTCGTGGAGCTGCGCTGGACTCCACTCAACTCCTTGGCGCGCGGAGCGCGCCAAGGGCGGCGCCAGAGGCGCCGCTGGGGGGCCCCAGCGAGGATCTGAAAAGCCCGGGCGGAACGCCAAAAGTTTATGCGCATGTGCTTTTTACTGTTCGAAGGGCGGATCCCGCCCTGGAAGAGGGGAGGGGGGGCCGACTCGGACCTGCTTGGGGCGGGCAGGATCGCCACCAGTCGGCAAAATTCGCGCGCTCCGAAGCCAGTGGCTCCAGGCGGCGGGCCGGGGCTCGGGGGGGGGGTCCCCTGGGGCCCGCGCCAATGAAGCGCCGCTCTGGCGCGCCGCCGACGTCGCTGCACTGCGGCGCCACCGCGCACGTCTGGCGGCTCGACGTTTCTGGAGACGACGAGCTTCCCTGGGCGTCTCGATCACTTTGCCGCGGCTGGCTTTTCATTGCGGACCAGCTCTGGACCCGAGATTGGAGGGCCCAGGTTGCAAGCGGCACGTTCGCCTCGATCCTTTTTTTCGAACCGCCCGACGATCGGGGGCGCCAACGCCGCCGTCGCAACCGCGGCCGACGCGACCGCCAAAATTGGCGCGCGCGCCACGCCTGATCGCCCGCGGCCAGGCTGGCCTCGCATTGTGGAAGACGTCGCAGGCACGGCCGGCGGCGACGCCCGCTCCTCTCTACATCTCACATCGCTGCGCGCTGCTTGTAAGGCGCGCGCGTCGCCGGGGGGCATCCAGACTTGCAGCGCTGGGTGGGCGTAGCAGACTGGCCCAGCGGCGCATCCATCCCTCTCGCATGTTATCGGCCGCTAGTGCAGGAAGCAAGGTGGGCGGATGAGGGAGCAAGAGAGAGAGAGAGAGAGAAAGAGAGAGAGAGAGAGAAAGAGAGAGAGAGAGGGAGAGGGAGAGAGAGGAAGAGATAGAGAGAGATAGAGAGAGAGGAGGAGGAGGAGGAACACAACAAACGAAACATGACAACGAAGAGAGAGAGAGAGGGAGGGAGCAAAGTGAGAAAGAGAGGGAAATAGAGAGAGAGAGAGACCGAGAGAGACAGAGAGAGAGAGAAACAAACAAAACAAGAGAAAGGGAAAGAGAAACATACAGAGAGAAGGATCTAATTGAAATATAACCACGACAATGGGAGTCCTGCCCCGTGGGGGGTGCTCACAACCAAATTCCGCCATCCGCGGTCTTCCGCCTGGACCTCGCTCGGAACCTGTCCTCCGGAAAAGCTGGTCGGGAAGGCCGCGGTCTTCCGCCTGGACCTCGCTCGGGAGCTGCCCTGCAGAGGCGTTGGCCGCGAAGGGCAAGCGAGAAACGTCGCTGACAAAACTTTCGGGGCCTGACAACGATGGTCACAATGCCCAGGGCAAACCAAAACGGTTGATAACCTGTGTGAAGGATGGACGTACCACGGGGCCAATCTGCTACACCCACCCCCAGGGGGACAGAGCCCGCAATGCAAGCAGGGATGTCCCTCAGAGACGCGTGCGCCTAAAGGCAGCGCGCAGAGATGTGAGAGGTAGAGAGGTGCGGGTGTTGCCACCGGCCAGGCCTGCGCCATCTCCACCCGCGTGAGCGCCCGCGTTTCCTCCTGGTCCTTGCTCCGCTTCCCTCCCTGACTTTCCCATCCTCCCTGATTGTGCCTTCTTCTGTTCCTTCCCATCTCTGCATCCTCCGACTCCTCCTTCGATTTCGCACCCACCTGCCTCCGATTCCTCCGATCCCCACCATGCCTCTTCCTCCTCCTCCTCCTCCCCCTCCCCCTCCTCCTCCTCTTCCTCCTCCTCCTACTCTTCTTCTTCTTCTTCTGAGTATGGTTGTTAGTATAATTCTTCTTATTCTCATGATTAATCATATTGTTCTTATTACTTCTATCATTACTATTATCCCTCCTCGACCTCCTCCTCCTCCTCCCTCCCCTCCTCCTCCTATGCCGCATCCACATTCGCCCCGCTCCTCCTCCTCCTCCCCCCGCCCAAGCCCCACCCTGGGCCGCAAAAAGAAAAGGAAACGAGCGTCTCACTGGTCTAGCCCTCCTCCAATCATCAGCAGCTCACCTGCGACCTCCAAACCATATTAACATGTTTGGCTCTCCCGGCCGCACCGACCGGCCAATGCGACACGGAACCCCGAGTGCAGCGGCGCATGCCTCTCGCTGTTCGAGGGCCTCCCCAGCAAGGGCCGCACTGTGGCAGACACCGCTCGTCGGTCCGCCCCCGCCCGCGGGGGCCCCAGGGCACGCGGGAGCTCCCACGGAGGCCGAAGACAGCCACAAACCGTCTGTCGTTTTCTTGGTCATCTTATGCTCAAATCGGGTCCGTCTTTCCACAGGGGGGATATTCAAAAATGTTCAAAAAATGGAATTGATTATTTTGGAGTATGTTTGACTCTCGGGCCTCTCGGGGGATTTTGGAGCATTGTTTGATCATATTGGTGGATTGTTTGGCTATCTTGAATTTTTCGTCCCAGATCCGCCTGTAGGGGGACAGGCCCGGCTTGATCTTATGTTGCGTCGCTGCATGACGATGCCTGTCCGATGGCGTCGCCATTCGCGTCGAATCCCCCGCGTCAAAGCCAAATCTGCGAATCGGTGCCGATCTGCGCCAAACCTGCGCCGGATCTACTTCGATTCCACGCAGAAGCCGCGGCGGATACAAGAAGTGACTGCGGATTACAGGATAAACAAGGTCCCCGATGAGTTACACACATGACTATCTGATGCGTTGTTGTATGCATGGCAGTCGAGTGTTCTCGTACCGTCTTTCTTCTCAGCTCGTTTCCTAAGAAATGCCAGATGCGCATTCGTGGTGGTGATGCCCAAGCGCCGTGCCAAGGGCTGGCGCATGGCGAACCCACGGCGGATGCAAGAAGAGACAGCAAGCTTGTCTTGTTGGCAGGAGCAAGCGATGGGAGCGGACCACGATAATGTACATCACTCGCCTCGCCAAGCGTGCTTGAAATTATCATGTTCGTCGCAAGGCTGTCCTACGACCGTGGCCGAAACGCAAGTCGGGGAAGACGGCTGCGGGCCCCGCCACGATTACATTGAGGTATACTGAAAGCGCCGGCTGTATCGGCGATGCATCGGCGATGCACTGGCGATGCTTCGTCGACGTGGGCGATGCATCGGCGACGCCGACGTGAGGCCAATCGGGCTCCACATCAAGCCGCATCGCCGATACACCGGCGATGCGGCGCGATCGTCCGACCCCACCTGCTCCGACCCCCTCTACCGGGGGCCTGGAACTGCTTGACCCTCGCTGCCGGGCCGGGCGGGGAGGGCCAGACCCGCCTCGCCGTGTTCGTGGACTGCACGAAGACCTCCCGCTCGCTCTCGTCCGCCGACGCCTGCCGGGGGGCTGGGGCGCCGAGCGCGGCGCCGCGGCCCACACGGGCGGAGGGCCGCTGGCTGAGATGGAGCATCGCACGTGAAACTCACGACAACCAGACGCGTGACGATGGCGACGGTGGCGCAACGCTCGGCGATGACGCCGCGGGCGCAGGCGGATCAGGAGCAGGAAGCCGCGCGAACACCCTTGAGGAGCCACCATGGCTCAAACCGTACTGGTTTGGGGCTGCGGGGCTTGTGTTGCTCCCATCGTACTCAACGACCACATCCCAGAAATCATTTCGAGCCCCCAGGTGGTTTCGAAACAGTGTCGAACGAGTGTCGCCTCCCAGGACCCGACACGTGAAAACCCTCAAGTTTCGGTACTTTCTTGGTGCTCGCAATTCTGGTGATCAAGGCTAACGTGGGTTGGAACATCGGAATGCTGGGCTCCTGCTGCAGTTCCTCGTGACATCCTGTGGTCAGGGAAGAACGCGTGACGTTTCCCCTCGCCGCCGCGGGACCGCGGACCCCCCCCCCCCTCCCTCCCGTAGGGAGAGGGGAGGAGGAGGAGGAGGAGGAGGACGACGAGGAGGCGGAGGCGGAGGGGGAGGAGGAGGCGGAGGAGGAGGAGGATGCGGAGGAGGAGGAAGAGAGGAGGAGGCGGAGGCGGAGGGGGAGGAGATGGAGGAGGGAGGTGTGGCGGGGTGGGGGCGGGCGAGGGGAGGAGGAAGGGAGGGAGGAGGAGGGTGGAGGATGCGGAGGAGGGAGGACGAGAGGTGCAGGGAAGAGGGAGAGGGTGGAGGCAGAGGAGGAGGAAGAACGGAGGAGGAGGAGGAGGAGGAGGAGGAGGAGGAGGAGGAGGAGGAGGAGGAGGAGGAGGAGGAGGAGGACCACAGCCACGCCTCCCCCTTCCCTCGGGGGGGCGATGGCTCCTCCAGGACCGCGGCCTGGGGGGTCCGCCGCCGGGGGCCTCGGCGGGCGGTGGGTGCGCACGTGTCCGGGAGCAGGGAGGAGCGACTCCACGAGCATGAGGTCGGGCACGTCCCTCTACAGGAGGAATCTTCAAGGATAGTCCAAAAATGCTCAGGCGACGGCTGCTCTTTTACGTTTTGATTATCCTTGAATGTTTGTGGTAAGTATGTGTGATTTCTCGTGCAAGATCCGCCTGTAGGGGGACCTGCCCGACCTAACACGAACACCCGGGACCACCCGCGGGAAGAGCCAGGGGGGGTCCCCCATTGGTGTGATTCCCACCTTTTTCTCGAGGCATCCAACATCCCGAGCTCGGAGATGATCCGTGGACCTCCTCGCCAGAGCTGGCCTCGGTGACGGGTGGCCGTGTCGTTTCTCTCTTCCCATCCGACGTCTGCTACCCACCCAATGCCCGAATACTTGTTTTTGATCGAGCAGAGCCCCGGGCATGACCGCTGCAGCGGGATGCACGACGCGAAAAGTCGACGACGGCTGCGGAACCGCTGGGAGGGCTGCGAGTGGCTCTGCCCCCCCCCGCCCCAGCAGGGCCCGAATACGTCCGCCTCCGCCGCCTGCCGATGGCCCCCCAGAGGGAGATCCCCCCGGTGGTGGAAATAGATAACTCCCCGCCTCGGATCTATCAAGTCGGATGATGAGCCGGGACAGCCAAGGGGGCTGGTTGCACGGTTTCCCCGGGGGCCGTAGGCGACCCGAGGAGGAGGAGGAGGAGGAGGAGGAGGAGGAGGAGGAGGTGGAGGAGGAGGAGGAGGAGAGGAGGAGGCGGAGGCGCAGGGGAGGAGATGGAGGAGGAGGAGGAGGAGGGAGGAGGAGGAGGAGGGAGAGGAGGGAAAAGGAGAAGGAGGAGGAGGAGAAGAGGGAGGAGGAGGAGGAGGAGGGAGGAGGAGGAGGAGGAGGAGGAGGAGGAGGAGGAGGAGGAGGAGGACTGGTCGCCTAAACCCTTCGGAGAAACCCATCACGGCTGGCTGGCTTAGTCGGAGGGAGGGGAGGTCAACTCTGAGAGCCCCGCGGTCAGGCCGCTCGGGCCGGCGATCGCGACGAGGGAGGGGATAACGACACGAGGACCGAACGAGAGGGGGCGACCCGAGCGACCGACGACGCCGAGTCCTCCAAACCTTCCAGCTTTCCGTCGGGCATGTCCCCCTACAGGCGGATTTTTAACGATAAATCAAGAGCACACAAAACATATGCAACAAAAAACCCAAAATACTTGAAAACAAATCGTCCCCATAATATGTTTTGACTGATTTGGAAGATCCCCCCTGTAGAGCGACAGGCCCGACGTGACACGAGGACCGAAAGCAGAGAGGGCGACCCGAGGGACCGGTAACGCCGACCCCTCCAAACCTTCCAGCCCGCAAAACGCCACCTCCCGTCCCTGGCCGGCGGGCGAGCGGCCCTCCCCCTCTGGGAGGGAGCCTGTTCTCTCCAGGGCGGGCCGCGGGGTGCCCGCGCCCGCGGCGTCGGAAAAGCCCCGCGCGCCCCTCCCCCCCCCCACACCGTCCCCCTGCCCCCTCCCTGCCTCCCTGCCGCCCTGCCCTCCATCCAGGACTCCAGCTCCCTCCCCCCCCCCCCCCTCCCTCCCCTGCCCTGCCTCCTGCTCTCCATCCAGGACCCCAGCTGTCCTGCTCCTCCGCCCTCCCTGACCCGCCAGGCCCGCACGCCGGGCTCTCCCGCCCGCCCGCCGCTCGCTCCTCTTCCCTCCCACGCCTCCCCCCCGCACTCCTGCCCCCCCCTCCCCCCCGCCCGCCCGCCCGTCACATCGCGTCGCCCTTCGCAGCCCCATCCCCCGTCCACCCTCCCGCAAAGTCCACTTCCCCCCCTGGCCTTTCCTCCTCCTCCGCCTCCACCTCCACCGGTCTACCCCTCTCCTTGCCTCTCCCTTCCTCCTCCTCCGCTTCCCTTTTGCTTCCTCCCTATCTTTCTCTCTTCTCATGAACCTCCTCTCCCATCGCCCTCCAACTGATCCCCCTCTTCATCCCCCTCCTCGTCGTTTTCTGTCTCGCTCTCTCCTCATCCTCCCGCTCCTCACTGGATACTTCTGCAATTCCTCCATCTCGCAATCCTCCTCTTCCCTGTCCTTGTCCTGGCCATCGTCGCCCTCCGCTCCCTGCTACAGGCGTGCCGAGTAAGGCCGAGGTCGCTCCAGGACACGGTCAAGCGAATGATTGCCCTGTCGCTGACACTGTGGTACCAGTATCGTCCTGCCCATCAGCATCCTCCCCTCGCCATCGCCCCCCCATCTGCTTCTCATCACATTCTCCCTCCATCCCCTCATCGAAATATGGGTCCATCATCCCCCCATCCGACTGCCCCTGCGCCGCCTCCTCGTCCCCCTCGCGCTCCTGCGCCCCCTCCCTCCCCAGGCCGCCTCTGGGCCCTCGATCTTGGCCCGCAGATAGATGTGGTGGATGAAGAAGGCACAGAGCATGCCGTACAGGCAGACGAGCCCCTGGGGCGTGTCGCGATTGCAGTCGTGGAAGAACTCGTTGGACTTGGGCGCGCGCGCGGGCCCCTCGGTGATCTGCGTTGTGCCAGAGGAAGTCGCCCCGTGGGCGGTACCGATCGCCGCTTCCGCGGCTGTCCAAGTCCCTGAAGGGGGAAACCTGGACAAAAAAAAACTCGCTCCTCCTCCTCCTCCTCCGCCTCCTCTTCCTCGTCGCCCCCCTTTGCCCCTCGTTTGTCCTCTTCTTCCGTCCACCTCCTCACCTTCTCTTTTCCTCCTCCTCCTCGTTGTCCATATTCCCAGCCCTTTCTGGACAGAAGACGCAACTTTGACCGCCCTGGGTCGGTCGAAGCCGGTCGGCCGATGAAACCCGTTTCTGGATCGCCTGCTGAACACATCTGACAACCCATCGCCTGAACAATACGCTATGCCACCTGTCTTGGCGCTCCGCGGCACGCAATCGGATGATATCTATCGCGTTGTATCGCGCCCTCTGGTGTAAGACGGCCCTCCGTCCCACACCACGCACAGCGAATCGTGATTGTCGTCGCACCCAGCGGGTGACCAGATGCAGGGTGGCGATTGGGAAACGCTCGGGGAACCCATTTTCCTAACAGAAGACTTGCGCGTAGGCGTTCTTACTTCTCTAATGAAATGGAATGGAGAAACTGCGTCTGTCGAGGTTTCGCCTGGCGCCCGGTTGTTGCCCACGCGTGGGCGCCTGGTGGGCGACCCTGGCACTGGCCCGGTGCCGAGTGAGTGCCATGTCGTGTGTGCCTCGTGCGCCTCGTGCGCTGGGCGGCCCAAAAGCTTTTCACCACACAACTAGCACCACCTAGCTTGCACGATAGCTTACACCGCGTAGATTGCACCGCATAGCTTGAAACGCACAGGTCAAGCCGCATTAACCCACACCACATAACCTGCACCACATAGCTTGCACCGTAGATTGCACCACATAGCTCACACCACACAGCTTGCACAACATAGCTCACACCACAAAGCTTGCACCACACATTCCACACAACACGGCTGGCACCACATATATTGTGCCACACGGCTCGGGAGCCCAGCGCATCGACCGCGACGTCCGCACTGCATATGCGATTGCCTGCATCCGCCTCACTGCGTGAAGCGAGATCCGATACTTCGATGTGGACGCCCGGGATGGGTACGGAAAACATGGGCACAATGCCCAACAATAAAATGTTGCTTCAAACGAACAGCGACCGCTGTTGGGTAGGCGGCCTTCTGTCGCAAATGGGCACAGGCCGCGGCGGCGCGGACAGCGAGTCCTGTTCAAAATGAGCAGGAACTGCTGTTGGGCATTGTACCCATTCTTTCCGTACCCATTTCGTTCCCGCCGATTCGAGCCTCAATTACTGCTCATCCGGCACCCACGACGCATACGACAGCAAGCCCTGCTGCCAGAATAACGAACGGCACATCCTACCCGCTGGCTTGCCAATCTCTGGCGTGGCACGCCTGCCAAATTCATATGGCCTCCTCGCTGCTCGGCCTCCAGCTCTGTCTGGGAGGCCAGCAGCCCAAAGGCCCTGTTCGGTGTCCCACGGCCCTTGCCCGAACCCCGCCCGCACCGAACCCGAAGGTACATTTAAACCTTGTCACAAGAAGCCTTGAATCGGGAACGACGCCAGCGTTCGGCCCCTGATTGCGCAGAAATGCGCAAGGAGTGCGAGGGGTTCACCACCAAACAGTGACCAAGCGGCCGGGGCCGATAGCCAGAGATCTGATCAAACGCGGCCAAAGCATGCTTCCGACCCAAAAGACCCAGATGCACGACGTCTTGAAGATCGCGACTTCATGAAACATCACGACTGGAACCTCCGACCCCGCCATCCAGCTGCGTATGCTGGACTCCTCGACCCGAATCGTTTCTTCAGGGCCTCGTCAACAAGGTCCCAAAGCCTGAAACGAGACGCAAAGGCCCGGCTCGAGTCTGTCACTGCTACGACACCCCGACGTCATACTCATGCAAGGCTCCAGCTCCTTTGACAGGATGGCACCTGAGCGGACTTGCTGCTACAGGTTTGAGGAGAAAAGAATAAGGGGGCACTGGCACTGATTAGCTCAGGGTGGGAAACGTCGACCTGGATTATGCAATACGTCACCGATGGATCGGCGGTGGGCTCTCAATAACGAATCCCAGCGTTCCTGGGCGGGGTGGGGTATTGAGCCACTATCGGAAGTCGATGCGTTCCCCTCTGAAGACACCCCCCTAAACGTTGCCAACGACCGCCGCCGAGTTGGCGACCTGAACTGGCTACTGGTCCCGAGCCCCGCGGGCTGGGTGGGGGTCCTTCGAGCGATGGAAGGCCAGGAAGGTCAGCAGGTGCCGGGAGATCAGGGCGTCCGCCATCTGAAAGACACCTCGCTTCAAGACCCTCCTGCCACTGCTCATCGTGCTCGCGCTCCTCCTCCTCCTCCTCCTCCTCCTCCTCCTCCTCCTCCTCCGCCTCCTCCTCCTCCTCCTCCTCCGCCTCCTCCTTCTCCTCCTCCTCCTCCTCTCCTCCTCCGCCTACGCCTCCTCCTCTTCTTCTTCGTCTTCCTCCTCCTCCTCCTCATCCTCATTCTCCTCATCCTCTTCTTCCTCCTCCTCCTCCTCCCCTCTTCCGCCTCCTCCGCCTCCTCCTTCTTCATCTTCAACCTCCTGTCCTGTGACTCAGTCACCTCGCATTCCCATTCTCATCCCTCAGCCTATCCCCCCTCCCCTCTCTCCCTCCCCGTGTTTGCCCAAGCGACAGGGGTGGAGGGCCGCGAAGGAGCGCCAGATCAGCGCAGGCGGTTGGCATGACTGGTCGAGGGCGCGGAGTGGCGGGGTCGGGCTGGGGCGGAGAGTTCCGGGCCAGCACAAGTGGGCGTCGGGCCGTGGATGGGCGGGAAGGCGCGGAGCGAGCGCAACACCCCGGGCGGCCCCTGGCGGCGCCAGGCGAACATCTTGCTGCAACGAATTCGGGGATGGACAGAACCCCCTTTAGCAAAACGTGGTTTAGTGAAAACGACCTGAGGCCCAAACCTGGCGGGCGAAGCCTGGAAAATAACGGCCACGGCGCCCTCTCGAGAACCGAAAACGGACAATTCACTAATCGACGTGTCACTGTTGGGGGTTATGTCCACCCCCAACGAATCCTGAACAGAGAACGGAGCCCACTGCTGGTACCACCTGCTCCCAGATGTACGAGCGGCTGCCTGTACGCAACGCTGCGCCCCGCCACAGGGCCACAGGTGATCTCGCCCGCTCGTGCGCGCCGACTCACGCCACGGTGCAGGCAACGCTCTGGCGTGGCTGCTGTGGCCGCCGTCTCCTCCAACTCATTGACTTCTGTTGGGTGCGAACCGACTTTGGCCCAACGGCTGTGTTCAATCCCAACGCTTTTCCTCAACTTCGACCTTAAGGGCCGCTTTCTGGCCCTGGGACCTCATCGGAACACGCTCTGGGATGGAAGCCGGACAGGGGTCGAGAGTAGTGGGGACAACTGATCGAGCACGCCAGCCCTTAGGAGGTGTGTCCCCCCCCTCCCCTTTGAGCAACACTATGGCTTGGCTTAGGTCGGGCATGTCCCCCTGCAGGCGGATTTTGGACGAAAGAACAGTCCCCCTAAATACTCAAAAATGGTATAAACAAATAAACAACAACTATTTTTGAATATTCCCCCCAGGCCCGAATGAAGGCTAGGCCACCTCCACTCCGCTCTTGGCACGAGCCTCGATGCAGGCCAGCCATGGACTCACCTGGCGCCCGGCGCAAACCCGCCATCCCTAGTGGCCGCACAGGGTCGGGCCAAGTTTCAGCGTCGGTGAGCATCGTTCATCAGATCCCTATCCCCAGCGGCGTGGCCTGGGCCCCACTGGCAGATTTACCCCCCTAGTAGATGGGGATATAGGCCGTTCACTCCGGGTTTCGAGGGGTATATCCCCAACTGGGGGGGTAATTTGGGGTCTCGAAGGGGATGGGGATGGGGGTCGGTTAAACGATACTGAGTCGGTAGTGCGGGGGATGGCCCAATCAAGACGGGTTGGTCGCGATGCCAATGTACTCAGAGTCAGCACGGCTTCCCTAGCCCCTCTCACAATCGATCAGGCAAGGATGCTCGATCATGTAACGGTTTGGCGCCCCCTGGCACACCAACACTGCGGCTCCTGCACCTTGCCAGCACCAGCTACTCCGCAAGCCTTCCCGTCGACCAGGCGATGACGGCCCACAAATCGCGCAATGCCCTTGCACCCGCATTGCCCTTGTACCCCCAGTTGGGCCCGCATACTTTGGCACCACTAGCCTTGGCACGGCATCGGGATAGCTCGACGAAGCATGCAATGGACGCGCCTGACAAGCCAGCAAAGCGATATGGCACAAGTAATCAGCGACACCCTCTGCACGCACCACCCCATCCTCTTGTTTGGAAACCCGAAACGGTGCGATGGCAGACCGTGCGGTGACCTCGAAATCCCCCAAGACGTCACCGCACGGTTCGTCACCGCACGGTCTTGGGACCTCGGAGGCCCCTGTCGCCCGAGACGTCCTCCGAGAACGACCTGAGTCCCAAAACCGTGTACCCCGAATCCCCGCCGACTCACCACACGGTGTGGTCACCACACCATATGGGGGCCCCCGATCTGGCTTCCGAGGGTCGAGGCCGCTGAATACCACGCCCCCCCCGGGCACCGTTCTCAGAGCGGAAGCCCTCCGCGACGTTCCGCTGCAGCGCCCTCCGGAAGGCGTCCCACTCGGCGTCGTAGGCGCAGTCCAGCACGGAGGGCGGGCTGGCGGGGGGCACGCTCGCAATGCTCTCGGCGATGGGCGCAGACAAACCCGCAGCTGGCACGGAGAGCGGAGATGGCGTGAAGCAGAGGGAGGGCGGCACTCCACTGGCAAGAGCCCGCTGCTTCATTCTTCGCGCTGATGCCAATGACCGGCCCCGCCTCCCGCCTCCCTGCCCCAGCCGTGGTCACATCACGATTCGCGCTGGCGACGTGTAGGAATTGGCCATTCCTAAGCAGCCCCACGCGACGCTGGCGCGAATCGTGACGTGACCGGCCCCCTCCGCTCCTTCCCCCCCCCCCAGGGTTACGCCCGCTCTCACCAGGGGATACAAGCAGTCTCCAGGATCCACCGCCCTGTGGCCTGAAAGGGTAGGCCGACAGGATCTGAAGACGACACAGCGTCTGCTCAGTGCGGCGTCGTCTTTGTGGAAGTGGCGGCTGGCCCACCGGGGCCCCGAGAAGGCGCCACTGGGACCTGGAGCATAGATCCAGGCCATGAAAGAGCCCCGCCGTGAGACGGACCCTGCACTCCCGGGCACTGTGAGACGATGGGACGGGGAGCCTTGGGAAAGCGCACTTGATTTAGGTCGGGCATGTCCCCCTACAGGCAGATGTTGGGTGGAAACCCAATAATCCAAGAATGTTCCAAAATAGTCATCAAAAATTATGAGAATATCGTCCCAAGACAATCGTATTTACTATTTTTGAATACGCCTCCTGCAGAGGGACAGGCCCGACTTCAGAGCAGGGGGAGGGGGGGGCAGCCAGACGTCTCGAGCGGGGGCAGCCAGACGTCTCGAGCGTCTGGATGCCCTTGCTGCAGCACGAGAACGACAACGAACGTGGTCCACCGTGCAGCTCGAGCCCAAGGAGCCGGCCCTGGCCAGACGGCTCCGGAGGGGAGCGGGTCCTGGACGTCCCATCCCGATGTCGCGCTGCTGCCGCCGACGTGCGCGTCGGCCCCCCAGGGGCGACGCGCGCGCGCGCGCCCAGAGATCTTGCAGCATCTGCTCGGTGGCGGGCGCTCTCCGGCCACACCGCCTTGGCAACGATGTGTAATCCGTACGCTCGTGCTGTACGTTCGGCTGCGACGTGCGCCTCCGAGGGGGGCGCATGGTCTAAACCAGAATGGCCTTCCAGAACAAGAAAGCAAGATCAGTATACACGTCGGTCGGAAGAAGTAGGTAGAAACATGAAGTAGGAAGGCGGATATAGTAGATTGGGTCCAGGTCCTCCCAGAGAATAACAAAACACAGCAAAAGCATGTCGATTCTTGAAGTAGGAAGGCGCTTGAAGAAGATTGGGATCTGGGGATCCAAAAATACCTACTTTCAACGACCGGCGTGTACACTAAGATGGCCTTCCAGGAACAAGAACCAATCCTTCGTTCCGAGTCGCTCTACGGTGATTTCCGGGCCCGTGGAGGGCCCGAGGAGCCCGACAACGGCGTCAAGCCCCCAGGACCCGTTCTATCAGGACACCCGTTTGTAGAGGGTTCCTTCTCCTCCTCCTCCTCCTCCTCCTCCTTCTCCCTCCTGCTCCCTCCTCGTCCACCTCCACCTCCTTCCTCCTCCTCCTCCTCCAGCTTCCCTTCCCCAAAGACTCTAGGCCTCCTACTTGGGGTCAGACTAGATGGGGTCGGAGGATCGCGCCGCATCGCCGATGCACCTGAGATGCATCGGCGATGCTCAGGCGACGTCGGCGATGCATCGGCGCAGCCCAAGCAGGGAGGTCGGGCTCCCGACTGAGCCGCATCGGCGATGCATCGGCGATGCGGCGCGATTCTCCGACCCCATCTACTCCGACCCCAAGTAGGAGGCCTAGAGTCTTTGGGGAAGGGAAGCTGGAGGAGGAGGAGGAAGGAGGTGGAGGTGGACGAGGAGGGAGCAGGAGGGAGAAGGAGGAGGAGGAGGAGGAGGAGGAGGAGGAGGAGAAGGAGGAGGAGGAGGAGTGAGAGGAGGGAGGAGGAGGAGGGAGGGAGGAGGAGGCCCAGGAGTCCTTGGGGAAGGGAAGCTTCTCAGAAGGCCAGAGGCCTTCCGAGCCCGCTGCCTCTCGCTTCACCCCTGCACACGGTTTCCCTCCAGGGCCGTGGGCGACCCGAGGAGGAGGAGGAGGAGGAGGAGGAAGAAGAGGCGGAGGAGGAAGAGGAGGAGGCTGAGGAGGAGGAGGAGGAAGAAGAGGCGGAGGAGGAAGAGGAGGAGGAGGCTGAGGAGGAGGAGGAGATGGAGGAGGCGGAGGAGGAAGAGGAGGAGGAGGCTGAGGAGGAGGAGGAGGAGGAGGAGGAGGAGGCTGAGGAGGAGGAGGAGGAGGAGATGGAGGAGGAGTAGGAGGAGGAGGAGGAGGAAGAGGAGGAGGAGATGGCGGAGGAGGACGGGTCGCCTAAGCCTACCAAGCCTACGAGCCCAAGAAGGCCTCGAGACGACCCTCGGGCAACCCCCAAAAGAGCCCCACGATGCCTCGCAATGCTCATTGATCATATGCTGCAAGGGCCCACCGATAAAGCGGGGTAAACGAGAAACGCTGCATGTTCAAAGTTCCAATGCATCCTGCCTCCTACTGGGAATCGTTCAGCGGATGGCCTACGGCCCGACATCCCTCCGAGGCGGGTCCGTACCCAGTGTGAGGCAACCGAGGAGCATGACGGGGCCTAATTGGGAGCAGCGGGGAAGCAAGGCCCGGGCGCGGTGGGATGAGGGGGCGGAGCACGGCATGGGACAAGTCCGCCAAGCTGGACAAACGACCCAAAATAATCATCCAAGGCGGAGATCTCGAGATTAGAGGCCTCCTAGATGGGGTCCGAGTAGATGGGGTCCGAGGATCACGCCGATGCATCGGCGATTCATCGGCGACGTCGGCGATGCATCGGCGACGCCGGTGTGGGGAAACACGGGCTCACCATCAAGCCGCATCGTTGATTAATTGGCGTTGCGGCGCGATCCTCCGACCATTTCTACTCGGGCCCCATCTAGGAGGCCTAGAAAGATTTGCGCATCTTATATGATGGCACCCGTCAGTGGGCGCCCGAGTGATAGGAGAGAAGCATGTCACGACTGGGGTGCCCCCTGACGGCCCCCCCTCGGAGAGCTCAAGTGCGGTGCCTGCGACATCGGGATGATCCTCGGTCTCCGAGGGTGCCTAGACCAGCGTGTCGCTTGAGAGGATGCACGATCTGGGCGAGAATTGGCAAGTGTAACTCCCAGTCTCCCTCGATAGAACAAGTGATGTGCCTACTACATCGCGGAGGTCAGAAGCCTCTGGGAACAAAGGAGTACGGGGTGCCAAAATCAACATTTCGCTTGAGAAGCCCCCACAATCTGGCAACGAATCTGCAAAGGTATTCCCCCCTGAGTCCGAGGCGCCGACACGAGCGGACTGCCGGAGACATCCCCACAAACATGGGCGCGACCGGGCCCGCGATGCAATCCCGGGCGGATCTTCCTTGGGGTGCCCACATTGCCACGTCCGCCGTTTCTGCTCCTTCGCGGTGACCACGGGGCTCTCGGAAGGAGTGGAGTCCGACGCGCCGAAGCAGCCGAACCCCTGGAGAAAGCCCTCCGACAAGGGCGCGAACGAGCCCGTGATGAGCACCCGGACGGCTCGTCCTTTGTCGGGGGCGCGCAAGCATGGATTAGCGATCCATGGATCTGGCGCGCGGTCGCCAAGCCCATGGATCGGGGGAGGCGCCCTCCCCGAAAGGCGGCCCGTGCCGCCTCTCGGCGGCGGAGATCCGCGACTCCCCGTGGAAACGGGACCCGTCGCTAAGCCTCGCCCCATTGATTGAAAGGGCCCTGGGACACAGAAATAAATAAACAAAAAACAGGATTCTCCATATTTTCATATATTTTCTGGGTTTTTGTCTTCCCCCCCACTTCCCATATTTTCCCATATTTTCTAAGGAATCGACCATTCATTGTGTCTGTGTGTTTTTGTTCCCCCCTGATTGATCCCTGTCTGCCATCGCCTGACGATGCGGGCGCGAACGAGCCCGTGATGCAAACCCAGACGGCTCGCCCTTCGGGTGCCCAGATGCCACGCCTGCCTCTGCGCAGGTGCGCTCGGGGCCCTCCGAAGAGAGGATCGAGGCGCCGAGACAGGCAAACCGCGTGCGGCATGCCCTCCAATCTCGGCGCAAACGTCGGGGGCGCGCAAACCTGGATTAGCGACCCATGGATTTGGCGCGCGCTCGCAGCATCCATGGATCGGGGGAGGCGCCCTCCGCAAAATGCGGCCGGTGCCGCCTGGCTCGGCGGCAGAAGTCCAATTTCCCATGGAAACTGGACCCGCCGCGAATCCACGCCCCCTTGATCCATGTTTGCGATCGCCTGGCAATCTCGGCGAAAACGGGCCTGGGATACACGCCTGGCGGCTCCCCCTTGCGGTGCTGACGTGCTACGCATGCCTGTTTGTTCCCAACCATCCTGCGGTGTTGGGTCCTCGTTTTGAAGAGGCAGCGCCCTGCGTTCCTCCGAATTCCTCTCATCATCATCATCATCATCATCATCATCATCATCATCATCATCATCATCATCATCATCATCATCATCATTATCATCATCAGCATCAGCATCAGCATCAGCATCATCATCATCAATCATCATCAATCATCATCGTCGTCATCATCATCATCATCATCACAATCATCATCATCATCATCATCATCATCATCATCATCATCACCAGCAGCAACAGCAACAGCAGCATCATCATAGTCATCATTATCATGGTCAGCATCAGAAGCCTCAGCATCATCAGCATCATCACCAACAACATCACCATCACCATCATAATCATCATCATCAGCATCAGCATCGGCATCATCATCTACATCAGCATCATCATGATCAGCACCAGCACGATGATCATCAACATCATCGTCACCATCACCAACCTCATCATCATCAACTTCATCATCACCATCATCACCATCATCATCATCATCATCATCATCATCATCATCAGGGCCGTCACCATCATCACCATCATCGTCAACATCACCATCATCGGTATCATCATCGCTGTTACCGCCATCATTATCGCCATCAGCTTCGGCGCACCCCTCACACGGTCGTGGCCACATCGGGAGCTCCACCGAAGGCCCCAGCGGGACGGTCCGCTTGGCATCTCCGCCCCATCTCGGCACACCCCTCACACGGCTCGTGGCCCCATCGGGAGCTCCACCGAAGGCCCCCGTGGGAGGGTCTGCATGGCACCGCCGCCTTATCTTGGCGCACCTCTCACACGGTTCGTGGCTTCATAGGGAGCTCCACCGAAGGCCCCAGTGGGAGGGTCCGCATGGCACCGCCGCCTAATTTTGGCGGGCTTCTCACACGATTCACCGATCCAATAGGGAGCTCCTCCAAAGGCCCCAGTGGGAGCGTCCGCATGGCACCGCCGCCTAATTTTGGCGGGCTTCTCACACGATTCACCGGTCCAATAAAGAGCTCCTCCAAAGGCCCCCGTGGGAGGGTCCGCATGGCACCGCCGCCTTATTTTGGCGCACCCCTCACACGGTTCGTGGCCCCATAAGGAGCTCCACCGAAGGCCCCAGTGGGAAGGTCCGCATGGCACCGCCGCCTTCGTTTGGCGCACCCCTCACACGGTTCGTGGCCCCATAGGGAGCTCCACCGAAGGCCCCAGTGGGAGGGTCCGCATGGCACCGCCGCCTTATTTTGGCGCACCCCTCACACGGGTCGTGGCCCCATAGGGAGCTCCGCCGAAGGCCCCAATGACAAGGTTCGCATGCTCCCTCCCGACTCATGTCGGCACACTCTTCACACGCTTCCTGGCAGAAGGCTATAGCTCGTGCGCTACTGGGAGTTTGCGCGCCGCCCTCCTTCGTCTCATCTCCCTCGCGGTACCCGCAACTGCAAATGGTTGGGTCCTTCGTTGGGCTAATTTCCAACCGCAGCAACTCGCGTTGCGACTCCAATCGCGCTACTACTAAAATCGTGAGAGTACGCCGGCACGAAGGAGGAGGAAGAGAGGAGTGGAGAGAGTAGGGGGTAAAGGAGGGGCAATGGCGTTGTGCGGATAACCCCTGCCGACCAAACGGCCACTTACATCATCCGAAGACGCACCGAGGCATGCGAGGGGAAAGGGAAGGAAGGGAGGAGGGCCAGAAAAAGGAGGAGGAAACAGGAATGGTAAACTCAAGATTCTGAACTACGTGCAGCGACCCAGGATTCGTTCTAAGTACCAACGCATAACTGTACAAATTCCCGCCCCGGGTTACGGCCTGCGGGGGCTGCTGCGGATTACCTCGCCAACACACAACTTGTCGAGTACGGACAGTAACGGCATGCACGGGGAGAGGGGGGAGGGAGTGGAGGCACGAGGGGACGAAGACAGTTCCCGCCGAGCGTCGCGATCGACAGTGCGGCCGCCAGACCGCCGCTTCAGGCTTCAGACACGCCACCCCCACTGGGGGGGGGCTCTCTGGCCCCAGGGGGAAGCAGGGGGCCGCCCCCCCCCGCGACCACGACAGCGACCAGGACGACGGGCACGGAGAGAGAAAGGGAGGCGTGCAAGCGGGGAAGAGGACACGAGCGGAAAGAGAGAGAGAAAGGGAGGAACGGGGCGGTCCCCTGCCCCCCCCCGGGGCGTGGAGCTCTCCGCAGCACGAGCCCGAACGGGCCCGTGCGGCCCTCCCTGCCCGCTCCCCCCCTCGGAGAGCTCAGATGCCACGCCGGCTACCTCGCGGTGGCCACGGGGCCCTCTCAGAGGGAGAGTCCGAAGCGCCCGCTCGAGGCCTTCCATCCACACGGGGCGCAGACGGGCCGGCGATATGCCCTCCGGCGGCCCCCGCTGGGGGTGCCCAAATGCCACGCCGGCGATGCCGCGGTGAGTATGATGAGTGGCAGTGCACGTAGGTCTGAGGGTGAGTCTCAGTAGACGTGAGCCTGAGTGCGAACAATTATACTGCGAGTTGCATGAGCGTAGGAGTCTGAGTAAGACTTGGCTTACTACGAGTGGATCTGAGTGAGACTGCATCAGTGGGTCTGAGTATTGGCGAGTCTGGGTATCAGTGAATATGAGTGTGAGTGAGTGTGAGTATGAGTGCGTCTGAGTGCAAGTGAGTTTGAGAGTGAGTGAGCCTGCGCGTGGACCTGAGTGTGGGTGGTCTGAGCATGAGTGGTCAGGAGTGTCAGTACTCCTTAGTGTGAGTAAGTTTGTGTGTGTGAGTGCGCCTGGTTGTGAGAGAGAATTTGAGTGTAAGTCTGAGCAGGAGCTACCCGAGAGAAGAGGCAGGCGGGTGAAAGTGAGGAATGGGAGGCAGTACGCTATCACCAAGAAACTCATACTTAGGACTTAGGACGTGGGGTAAAAAAAACTACAACAAAATAAACTTCTGGAGGCCCGGGCGGATTTCTTGAATCTGCGCTGGCTGGGGCGCGGAGCGGGCCAGGGGCGGCGCGGCTGTTCGTGCGTGCAGCGCCAACCCAAGACATCCGCGCGGACTTCCGAAACGTTGTGCTTATGGCATTTTGTGTCTGACCCGCCGCACGTGAACAAGCCGCTAAGGCAAGCATAAGACCTCCCCCCCGCACTAGGAGGAGAACCAAGAGATCCAATGTCGCGATTTGTTCAATATGCGGTCCCCAGAAGTCTCGACCCATTCCCCAGGACTGTTTTTCACCCTGAGTCGTTTTTTGACGGTCCCGAGGCCTGGCGAGGGCCCCTAGGGGTCGAAATTAGCGAAAAACCTCTGTCTTGATTTTTTCAGGACGGTGGATCTCTGGGAATGCAGCGGACAACTGCGGCGGGCAGCGCTGCGCCTGAGGGGGCCGGCATCCACCTCCTCCGCGTGCGCAGGGAGGGCGGCGCCCGCAGCGGTGAGCGCGACTGGCGACGGGCCGGCTCTGGGAGAGGCGGAGGGGCCTCCTCTTCCTCCCCCTCCTCGTCCTCCTCGTCCTCCTCGTCCTCCTCCTCCTTCTCCTCCTCCTCCCCCTCCCCCTCCTCCCCCTCCCCCTCCTCCCCCTTCTCCTCCTCCTCCTCCTCCTCCTCCTCCTCCTCCTCCTCCTCCTCCTCCGCCAGAGGGCGTACAGCTCCACTGCACCGTGTCATCAAATCGATCTTGCGAATGCTAAGCACTGTACATCCCGCGTCCCCGCCCAAACTTCGGCCGACCCGGTGTGACCGCAACTTTGTTTGTACGTCCGCACAGTCAGGCGCACGAGTGTGCGTGTGTGTGTGTGTGATTGTGTGTGCGCGCGTGTGTGCATGCATACGTGTGTGAGCGTTTGCGTAGGCGCGTGTGCGAGCGAGTGCGTGCGCACTCGCTCGTACTTTCCTCGCCCCTCTGGATCCGCCTCCTGACCTCCTCCGTCCTCCTTCAGCTTAACCCCATGGACCTGTTCTGAGACGCTTCCTGACTGGGGGGGGGGGACAAAAGGCTAAAGCACGACAAGCGCTGGCGCTTCGGATGTGATGTGCCAGATCGGCCTCAAGATCGGCAGGTGCAAAGTGTGTGTCCATGGCACAAGGTGTCCCGAGCTTTTCGCTCCATTTTGAAGCCCCTGGGGGAACTTCTGGCCTCCTGGGCTTCGCGAGAGAAGTGCTATCGATGGAGTCCGGGGGGGCCTCTGCAGGAAGTCTGGGTGCACCTTGGGCTTGGACCACATGTGGCAACATCTGCCAAGACGCTTTGCGCCGTTTGGCGCAAGAATATTGAGCGTGTTTCTGATTCGGCGTTTCGACATTGGGCGGTAAGAGGGGTGGGGTCTGGCTCCAGAGCTCTGCTCAGTGCGACTGTTTGCAAGAGTGCTGCCTCTGAGGGAGACTCCACCCGCTCGAAACAGTCGCCAAAAAACAGCCAAGATCTACTCCATGGGGGGGGAGGGGAAGTTTTGGGGTCCGCCCCGATCGGCTAAACAATGTGTATAAAAAACGATCACGTACCTGCACCAGCCGCTTGACTCTAAGACGTACAGTCCGCCCAAATGCTGCAACCCCCGCAGGGCAATTATCCTGCGACGTCCCCAACCCGTCTAAGTCAAGTGACAAGAGTGGCTGGTCCGAAGATGCACGGACACCAGCAGTGCGGGAATCGCCATTTGTTGGCGAGCTACATAGCATGCGCGCGCGTTGCAAGACTCGCAGGACAGCAAACCCAGCTGGCGGAGCACCGCACTAAGCTGCCCCCCCAGAAGCACACGAAACGGGTGGCAATTTCACAGTTCGCAATCCTCCGAACCTGAATCAGCGCAGGTCACGCACTACGCTGGACATCCCAGCAGCCCTCGAAAGTGGCGACAATTTCGCGACGGCCCACGAAAGTGATGACAATTCAGCAATTCGCAGCCCTCCAGCAACGGCGATGTCCCGCTCTAATCTGCGTAAGACGTCACTCCGCTGGACCAACGTATCAGCACTCGAACGTGGCACCAATTTCGCAATTCGCAGCCTGTCAATGACGGCGAGGTCCTGCTCTAATCTGCGTAAGACGTCACTCCAGCGCACCCACCATCTGAACTCGAACGTGGCGACAATGTCGCAATTAACAGCCCCTCAACGACCACGAGGTCCCACCCTGATCCGCGTAAGGCGTCACCCCGCTGGATCCTCCAACCACCCCCGGACGTAGCGACAGGTTCACAATCCGCACCCCCTCTCCCAGCGACGGCGAGGTCCCGCTCAAATCTGCGTAAGACGTAACTCAGCCTGAATCACTCAGCAGCCCTCGAACATGGCGACGACTTCGCAACTGTCAACTCCACACTGACGGCAAGGTCCCGCTCTGGTCTGCGTAAGACGTCACTCCGCTGACCCCCCAGCAACCCTCGGATGTGGCGACCAGTTCCAATTCGCAGCCCCAGGGATGGCTAGGTAACGTTGCACGGTTTCCCCCGGGGCCGTAGGCGACTCGAGGAGGCGGAGGAGGAGGAGGAGCAGGAGGAGGAGGAGGAGGAGGAGGAGGAGGAGGAGGAGAAGGAGGTGGAGGAGGAGGTGGAGGAGGTGGAGGAGGGAGGAGGAGGAAGAGAGGAGGATGAGGAGGAGGAGGAGGATGAGGAGGACCAGTTTCAATTTGCAGCACCAGGGATTGCGAAAAAACGTAGGATGGCGAAGTAGTACGCTGGCCAGCAAGCAGGTGCAAGCCAGGCAGACGGCAGAAGAGGAAAGGACCGGACAGCCTGAGCGGGAACGAGTCGCAACCGCCGGGCGTAAAGGAGGAGGATGAAGAGAAGCAGGAGAGGAGGAGGAGGAGGAGGAGAAGGAGGAGCGCGGAGGATGGGGGAGGTAGGGGGGGGAGAAGGAGGGGGGGAGGGGGGGAGGAGGAGGAGGAGGAGGAGGAGGAGGAGGAGGAGGAGGAGGAGGAGGAGGAAGGAGGATGAGGAGGGGAGTAGGAAGGAGGAGGAGGAGGCGGAGGAGGAGGATAGGAGGAGGAGGGGGACGAGGAGGAGGAGGTGGAGAGGTGGAGAAGAGGAGCACAGCAGCAGCAGCGTAGCAGCCGAAAGAGGAGGACGGTGAGTAAGAGGAGGGGGGAGGGAATTGAGGAGGATGAGAGGGAGGAGGAGGAGGAGGAGGAGGAGGAGGAGGAGGAGGAGGAGGAGGAGGAGGAGGAGGAGGAGGAGGAGGAGGAGGAGGAGGAGGAGGAGGAGGAGGAGGAGGAGGGGAGGAGGAGGAGGAGGAGGAGGAGGAGGAGGAGGAGGAGGAGAGGAGGAGGAGGAGGAGGAGGAGGAGGACGGGGAGGGGGAGGGGGAGGGGGAGGGGGAGGATGAGGAGGAGGAGGAGGAGGAGGAGGAGGAGAGACGGAGGAGGAGGAGGAGGAGGAGGAGGAGTGGAGGAGGAGGGGGAGGAGAGGAGGAGAGGAGGAGGAGGAGGAGGGAGGAGGAGGAGGAGGGGAGTAGGAGGAGGAGGAGGAGGAGGATGAGGAGAGGAGAAGGCGGAGGAGGAGGAGGAGGAGGAGGAGAGGAGGAGGCGGAGGAGGAGGAGGAGGAGGAGGAGGAGGAGGAGGAGGAGGGGAGAAGGAAGGGGCGTAAACGAGGGCACACGAGAGCACACGGCATAAAGCTGCGTGCGCAGACAGCATGGAGGGGGGGGGGGCATCCACATTCGTTCGCCAATCCCCACGGCTTTGCACAGACCGCGTGCGGGCTAACACGACAAAACTACCCCCCAAAACATCTAGCTGGAATCAAGAACTTTGCCAATGTACGGGTGACGGCCGTGACGGGCGTGCTTAACCTTAGAAGCTCGAGAACGCCTGGTCGAGGGGTTTCCCGACCGTCCGTTGCACCTGGCCCCGAGCCCACGGAGTGTGCCCCCCTGGGAGGATGTGTGCGCAACGGAACAGGACACTGCCAGACTGCTGCATCAGGTGCCCGAAAGAACTGAACATTGCAGTGCGGACGGATGTTGATGGGCCTGTTTCCCCCTCCAACTTGTGGAGGTGGTGGAAAGCAGGCCTTTCAGGATGAGGGGGGGGGCTCAGGACTCCGGTCCCAGGACCGCATCGGCCGCGCCCTAGGCCACGGGCCCCGCCCCAAAAGACCTGGGAATACCTCTTGCATCGCGGCCTGCAGAGGTAGCACACGCCTGCCACCGCTGGAACACCGTGGGCCCGCAGACCCTCCTGCTTCCACTTCGCAGCTGAGCGAGGGTGGCGGGCGCGGTAGCGTACAAGTTACAGACAGTGCATCGCCACTCGCAAATGCCAGGAAAGTGGGGCAGCGTGTGCTCCGTCAAAACCAAGGGGTCATTGCTTTCCTTCTTCGGGGCAGCGCGAACGGGAACCGAACCAGCAGAGGTGGAGAGCTCCTGGCTGAACGCGGGCATGGCCTGCGAAAGGCGGACCAAAACATCGAACGCGAGCTTAGTGGACTTCATATCAGCAGCTTGGCACTCGAATGGCGTCTTAGCCAGGGCATGAGACTACAAGCCAAACACAGGAAAGGAAAGGCGGCGATGACGAGCCGACCCCCAATGTCGCACTCTCCAAGCACATCATCCTTCCCCTTCCTCCCCCCACCCCCTCGACGACGACGACGACGACGACGGCGACGACGACGACGACGGCGGACGGCGACGACGTCGACGACGGCACACCCAGCGTGCGCAGCCCAAGGCCCTGCGCCATGACGGCGCCGATGAGGGCACAGCGCGCGCGCGGCCGTGCGCCCCCCCGTGAGGCTCGAGAGGAGGCCAGGAGACAGGCGTAGGCGCCCTCCTCCTTGCCACCGCCCTCCCACCTCCTCCTCCTCCTCCTCCTCCTCCTCCTCCTCCTCCTCCCCCTCCTCCTCCTCGAATTCCTCCCTCCTCCGCCTCCTTATCCCCAGCCTCTCTTTCTGTGCTGCTGCTAGCTCCTCCTCCTCTCCTCCCCCCACCTCCTCACCTCCTCCTCGTCCCTCCTCCTCCTCCTCCTCCTCCTCCTCCTCCTCCTCCTCCTCCTCTCCTCCTCCCTCCTGTTCATCCCCTCCTCCCTCAGTCTCTCCGCACGGATCCTCATGATCCTCCTCCTCGTCCTTTTTCCTCCTCCTTTTCCTCCTCCCCCTCCTCCAACTCCTTCTCTTCCTCCGCCGTGCTCCTCCGCCTCCGCTGCGTCAGACGAGCCCGCCGCCAGCTCAAGTGGGAAGCACGCTGCTCCACTTCTCCTTCTGCGCTCGCACTCGCGAACAACATCCTCTCAAAATTTGTGCTGCTTCCTAGGGTGGCGCGGGGCGCGGCCACTCCATGTCTCCTCCTCCTCCTCTGGACGGTTTTCCCCAGGGCCGCAGGCGACCCGAGGAGGAGGAGTAGGAGGAGGAGGAGGCGTACATAGGAGGAGGAGGCGGAAGGAGGAGGAGAAGGGAGGAGGGGGAGGAGGAGGAGGAGGAGGAGGAGGAGGAGGCAGGAGGGGGAGGTGGAGGTGGAGGGGGAGGAGGAGGAGGAGGAGGAGGACGGGTCGCCTAAGCCCTTCGGAGAATCCCTCCACCTCCTCCGTCTTACCTAGCCCCCCTCCCGCGCGCCCGCGCCCGCGCGGGGGCTGGACGGCCGGAGGAGGAAGGGTCGGGGACTCATTGACCCGGGTCAATGCAAACCTGGGTCAGTCAGGCCTTGCAGAATCCTGCAAGATCCTGCTCCCAAACCTGAGCCAGTGTGAAGGATCCTACAAGATCCTGCAAGATGCTGCACCCAAAACCAGGTCAATGCGACCCTGGCCCTGCAGGATCCTGCAAGATCCAGCGCTCTGGCTGACCCCCGTTTGCATTGACCCCCGTCTCAAGGCTCCCGACAGGGGCAGGGGACGGTGACTCCGGTGAAGGGGCGAACAAAACATTGGGGCATCATGCGCGAGGCGCAGGAACTGCCGTCGGACCTGGGCCAGAAGACCATTCCCCAAGGGAACACGAGACGCTGCGTCGGCCAAAGCGAGGAGAACATCCAAGGGTAACGTTAAGGCTGGCGTGCCCCCCTACAGGTACCGGGAAGCACAGTGGTATCCGGCAAACACGAAGAACACTAGGGTGCCCTCCCCGAGCCGACCTCGATCTTATACCTCGGCCCGACTGTACGAGCAACAAGATGAGAAGCAGGGAGAGAAAGGGAGGCAGCTGGAGGCAGGGAGGGGGCGGGGAGGAGGGAGGCGGACCGTCCGACAAAACAAACAAACAAACAGAAACAAAAAGCTGGGCGAGCGCGAAGGGGAGACGGACCGACGCGGCAAACAGACGCATACAAAACACTTAGGTCAGGATTAGTGAGGCTATCGTCACCACTCCCCTGAGGTCCGACGACGCGAAGACAGAACAACGCTGTGGGAAACCACGACCAGATCCTTGGGCCCCAACTTGCTGCGGCAGTCCTGAGCCCCCGACCGATCAGCGAGAGCCCAGGGCCCGAATAGGGGACGCACAGACCCCGGTCAATGCAAACCCGGGTCAGCCAGGCGCTGCAGGACCTTGCAAGATCCTGCAAGACCCTGCAGGATCCTGCACCCACGCCAGCAGGATCCTGCAAGACCCAGCGCTCCGGCTGACCCCCCGTCTGCATGGACCCCCGTCCCTCCAGCCCCGACCGAAGCTGGGCGAGCACGCCTGGGGCGCCACGACTGCTGGCGCCTGGATGCCAGGGCCTCTCCTGGCCTCTCCTGGCCACGGCAGGCCTCGGCCACGAGCAGCTCCCCCGGCCGGGGTCGGAGGAACTGCCCGAGCACCAGAGCCCCTCCCGAACCCAAAGGTGAACGAACGTTGCTTTCTTCGGCGACTCGTCATTGGGCGGAAGGCGTGGGGGAGGGGGGGGGTCTGGCCCTGGACCTCTGCTTAGTGCGACTGTTTGGGACGGTGCGTCCATTATAGGGGAGACTCCACCCGCTTGAAACAGGTTCCAACAGGCAGCCAAGATCTACTCCATGGGGTGGGGGGAGGGGGGGTTGGGGGCCCGCGCCGATGGGCACAACAAAGAATAAAAACGATCACCTCGCACCCCCCCTCCCCCCCCCCTCCATGGAGTAGATCTTGGCTATTTTGGGCGCCTGTTTGGAGCAGGTGCGGTCTCCCCCAGAGCAGAGCCGCATGAAGCAGAGCTTCCAAACAGCCGCATTGAGCAGAGGTCTGGAGCCAGAGCCCCTCCCTCCCCCCCCCTTCCGCCCAATGTCGAAACGCCGAATAAGAAAACGTTCACAAAGCGGTCCTTGTTCCTCGGAGGAGGCAACAGAACCGGACAGCCCAGGGGCGGGCATCACGCGTAGTCGCCGAGGAGCCTCGTCGAAGACGTGGGCGATCCAAGACCCTGGCTACGTGTACAGTCGACCCACATCATAAGGATGCGCGTTAAGGGTGCAGGGGCCGTGGAGGCCCATGGGAACACTTTTCGAACGAGGTTGGCCAGCGAAGGTCGCTGAGGATGGGCTGGAGGGGCAAGGGTGCAAAGGGTAACCTTGACAAGTCGCCCGGCCTTCCTATGCTCAGGTGGCGCGTGTCCTCCTACAGGTGGATTTGGACGAAACATTAAAATAGCCAAACAACATCTCCAAACAAGTGCGCACAAACTATGAAAAAATGGTCCCCAGACCTTTGTTTTAATATTTTTGCAGATTCCTCCTGTAGAAAGACAAGCCCGACCTAATCTTAGGTCGACCATGTCCTCATGCAGGCGGATTTGGAACGAAAAATCAAAAACATACCCCAAAAATAAACAAACATGAGCAAAGATTGTCGAGAAATCGCCCCCAGACTATTTATTTCCTTATGTTTGAATGTTCCCCCTGTAGAAAGACATGCCCGACTTGAACCTACTACTACGCGGGCTGACTGTAATGCTCCCCCCTGGGCTGCCCCTGGCTGCCACCGCCAAACCTCACGGAGTCCTGACCGTATATAAGAATCCGGGGTCCTCCAGCAGAGGCCAGCACGCAGTCGGGCCTGCCCCTCTACAGGGGGTGTTTGAGCGAACAGCGAAACATACTCATAAAACATACCCCCCCAAAATGGGCACAAATAGAAAAAATATAATCCCCCGACTATTTTCTGCCTCTTTTTGAACCTCCTGTAGAGGTACAGACCCGACTTGCGGCTAGCACTAAGTCGAACCTGTCCCTAGGAGGAATATAAAAAAAAAATAGTATGGGGACGATCTTGCTAGTCTTTTTGGTATTTGGGGGCATCTTGTGACTTTTTTTTTTTGCGTTGACAATCCGCGTGTAGGGGGACATGCCTGACCTAAGGCCAGCACTTGTGGTGGTGCACCGCTGGCGCGCGCCCGCCAGTCCGAGGCAGCGATTTATCCATAACCACCGCGTGGGGGATCGATCTTCAGGGACCTCGGCAAGTGGTGGATATGATCCACGCGGGTTATCAGGGTCGTAAGAACTCATTGTCTACTTCGCGACAACGCCTGTTACCGGCCCTGCCCCCCCTCCCCCCTGGCAACGTCACGAGTTACGCCGGCGCATTCTGAGAATTAGCCACTCCTCGGCACACCTAGCATTCCCAGACGGCTCCAGCGCGGATCGTTCTCAGCCCCCTCCCCCTCCCATCCAGATAACGCCTGTTATCGCCAGGGAATGAAGAAGTTGTTTCCAAACCTATCCATGCGTAGAACCACGCAGTTGCGGATGAGAGTGAGGGGGCAGGCGCGGGGTGCGTCGCGGGTGGGTCGCGAGGGGGACGACGACAACAACAAGCAACACACAAGCAGAGGCTGGGCCATGGCACCCCGCTTCACCCACGCACCCAGGGATGGTGTCAGTCCGTTCGGCCCCCTCACTCCCCAGACCCCCGACGCTGGAGGTCTCGACCCGTTCCCCGGGACCGGCTTTCCATCCCGATACGTTTTGTAACAGTCGCGGGCCCTGAGGAGGAGGAGGAGGAGGAGGAGGAGGAGGAGGATGAAGGGGAGGGGGAGGGGGAGGAGGGGGAGGGGGAGGAGGAAGGGGAGGAGGAGGAGGAGGAGGAGGAGGAGGAGGCTGGCGAAGTGCCCCCAAATAAAGATGGTAAAAAGCAGTTGTTTATTCACGGCTCGAGGGGATCTGGGCCTGGGCCCAGTGGGCTGCACAGTCGGTGCACATGGACAACTCATCTTGAGTCCTCGGGCGACCTCGTCTGTCCCCTCGCGGCCCCGTCCGCGCCGGATCGGTGTCGAACCCATGTCGGACTCGTCGGATCCGTGCCGACCCCGTGTCGAGCCCGTGTCGGATCCGCGCCGAGTCCGCGCCAAATCCGCGTCGAGTCCGCGTCGAGCCCGCGTCGGGCACAAGCGCGGGGGACGCGCGAGGTCCCCCGAGGATGCAGCGCAGGATGGCCCCCCGCCGCGCTGCCGCCACGAGGGCGGCCTCTCCCGAGCCCGCCGAGGCGCCGCGCAGCAGCCGCCCGAGAGCCCGCCGGCGGGCGACGGCGCCGGGCGGCGCCGGCCTCGCGCGGCTGGCGCCCGTCAGAAGGCGAGGATGTCGCAGAGGACCTGCGGGGATGGACAGACCCCCCTTTAGTAAAACGTGGTTTAGTGAAAACGACCTGAGGCCCAAACCTGGCGGGCGCAAGCCTCGAAAATAACGGCCACGGCGCCCTCTCGAGAACCGAAAACGGACAATTCACTAATCGACGTGTCACTGTTGGGGGTTCTGTCCACCCCCGAGACCTGCGGGGGCGGGGGGGGGAGGGCAGGAGGGGAGGGTCGTTGTGGGCAGCATGCCGTGCGAGCCCTGCCCCGGCCAGTGGACTGCTACCTCGGGGCCCTCTCGCGGGGCCTCTGGGAGCCCCTCTTGGGGCGTCTCGGGGGCCTCTCCGGCGCCAGTCGACGACATCCGCGTCTCATCGTTCTTGTCCGATCAGGCTCTGCGTCTTGTTTTTCGACGATGTCCCCGCCGTCCCTGGGCGGGCGGGGAGGTGCTGGCCCATCGCCTAACAGTGTCGCTTCGAGCAGCCCCACGCATGCCCGCGCACACCAATAAAGCGCGCTCCCTTCAGGCCTGCACAACCGACAACGTGAGGACGTCAGGTTATCTGGGGGGTGGGGGCGGGCACGATAACCAGAATACCAGGGTTATCGCTAGACCCCACTAAGAACAGCTTCAAGACGATTACGAAATTGAGGAAGAGAGGCCATGAGGAGGGGAGGAGGAGCAGTAAAGATGGGGAGGGAGGGAGGAGAAGTCAAGAGGACGAGCAAAGATACCCCCGGTCCGATCCACCGAATTCGGAGCACCAGCACACTGGCGAATGTTCAGAGCTTCTACGGCGGCCCGCTGGACTCTGGAGTGTAGAAAGTCATTCTCGGGCGGCAGAGAATCCAACATAGCATGGTCAGAAAGAGAATATAGAGAATAACATAGCAGAATGCTGTACTGCACATTCTGAAGACCATACGGGAGCCCATACAGCAAGACCAATCCACAAGAAATGCATCGCAAGAAACGCAACCCTGAAAATCGTCGACGTTCCTTGGGCCAGGGCTGGGGTCTGTATTAGCTGCCACCAGCGAAGAAACTCAGGGTACCCTGGGCCAGGCGGTTCACTGATTCGCTCGCGCAAAACATCTCAACGTCAAGACACGCAGGGTACCCTGTCAATTGCGGTTTCCTCTCGACCGCTGCAAGCCTTCACTGCGAACAAACCAAAGAAACCCCGGGCGCCCTAGCAAAACGTATGGTATTCCCTGTAGTGGGCTCCCCCTGTACGGGCCTATACGGAAGGCCATGCGGAAAACCATGTCGGAGACTATACGGCAGGCCAAGTACACGGGAGGCCAAGGCGGTTCCAGATCCGGCGATCCCCGCCGTAATCGGCTTGTGAATAAAACTGTGAAAGGTACAAAGAACATGCGGGGAGAAACATCGTACACAGAAATCCCACCAGCCCTCTGGTCTTAGGTGTTTTCCCGAGCTTCGTCTTCTCTCTTTCCACAACCCCTCCTTCCCCTGCTCGGGGAAAGGGTTTCTCACTGTTCCCTATTCGTATAGACCCCCTCCCCCAGGCGACCGACAGCCAACCATGAACCATGAGAGCTCCCCCCACCATCCCTGTCAACAAACAATAATACGAAACATATTCTGCCTCCACATTGGGAGCATGCGCGGCCAACCCGATGCGCACCCCCTACCATCCCTGTCAAACAACACTTCAAGTACACTTTGGCGCAAACTCTTGAGTCATGTTAGTGAGGCCCGCGACCACTTTCCAATGTTTTTGACAGGGACGGCGGGGGTGTCAGCACATTGCCTGCTGCGCGCAAGGCTACCACCCCGAACAAACAACAACATACAACATGCCATCGCGGCTTAATCTGAGCCGTGCGCGGCCACTCCACGATCGCTGTCAAATGATTTTTGACAAGGACGGCGGGGGTGGTGGCGTATGGCATGCTGTGCGCCGACACAATGATAGGCATTGCTGTTCGACAAGGATGGTGGTGGCCACCATGTTTACCAATGTGTGCTGTCACGTGCGCAGGCACACCTGACACACTCTGCGCGTGCCCCGCAGGTGCCGCACCTGGTGCGGCTGGAGTATGCGGCACACCTGGCGCACGCGGAGCTCGTGGCGCATCTGGCGCACCAGGCGTGCCTGGCACGCTCGGGCCCCAGGGGTACCTGGCCCGCGTGGGGCGCCTGGCATGCGTGGCGCAATTCGCCCAAGCGTCGCACATGTGGTCGGTGTTGGTTCCCGGTAGCACCCATCCAAAGTCGACCGCTGAACATGCTGAGGTCCGGGTGTTACTTATGTGTTTGGAGGGCGGGTGGGAGTGAGCAAAACGGCTTGCTGTCCAGGGGGTGTCTTGACCCCTCCCCCTACCCCTTCCCCTGGGAGGAAGGGGGCGCGAGGCATTAGAGCGCCCAAGATGGCTCCAAGAGGGCCTGAGAGAGCCCAAGATAGCCTCCAAGACAGCTCAAGAAAACTGAAGATGGCTCAAGATAGCCTCCCACATACATCGAGCACGGCCCAAAACGGCCCCCAGATGGCTTCAAGTGCCCTCTGGGCCCTCCAAGGACCCCCCCAAGAGGCCAAAATCCCACAAGCCCTCTGGGCGTTGGTGGTCTAGAGCGTTTCATCGTCCGCCTCCCTTCTTGGCTTTCAGGAAGGATTTTACTCCTCCCCCTACCCCCTCTCCTGGACCTGGACGCGGCGCCTCGCGAGCGGTCATGGCGTCCAAGATGGCCCAAGACGGCCCCAAGAGGGCCTCAGAGAGCCCAAGATATGGCGTCCAAGATGGCTCTTTATAGTGCAAGATGCCTCGAGATGGCTCCCAAGATGCTTCAAGACGCCCCCAGACTGCTCCAAGACGCCCTAAGACTGCTCCAAGACGGCTCTAAGATGCCCAAAGAGTTCCCCAAGGATGCCCCCAAGAGGCCGACATCCTTCAAACAGCTACGGAAAATCAATGTGTGTCGCTTTCTCGCCTTTTCGCTTCCGATGGCCATTCGAGGCCTTAAGATAGCTCCAAGATGGCCCAAGAGAGCCCTAAGAGGGGCCCAAGGGAGCCCCAAGACGGCCCCAAGAGCGCCCACGAGCGCTCCAAGAGCGCCCCAAGAACGCTCAAAAAGGCGACTTGGGGGGCTCCCGAGGGGCGATGCGCGAAGTAAGGGACCACCCTTCTTTGATCGATGTCCTCCAAGAAGCGCCCAGGAGTCCCCAGGAGGCCCCAAGATGGCCCCAAGCTGCCCCCACCCCGGGGACCCTCGCTGGGCGCTGGGAGCGTCAACAAACGCCCCGGGTAAGGGAACCAGGCCTGGGGAAGCTCTTCTTTCCGTACCTCTAAAGTCCCTCCTCCTCCTCCTCCTCCTCCTCCTCCTCCTCCTTCCCCCCTCCTGCTTAGTGCAACGCCTCGTCCTACTCCTCATACCCACCTTCCACCCCCCTGCGACGTCTTGTTCTTGTTCGTGGCGTGCATCACCAGACATCTGGACACCGTCCTGGGGACCGTACTTCACCCCGAGGCGCTTGGCAACGAGGCCACACGAGGGCCGCTGGGAGCCCACAGAGGCGCAAAACCTCCCGCTCCTCGGACGCGCGCGCGCGCCCTGGGGCCCAATGTAGGTCGGGCATGTCCCCCTACAGGAGGATCTTGGAGGACAAATAACACATACCCCCAAAATATCCAAAATGATCAAACATAATCGTAACATTGTCCCCAGCACTATTTCTGGACTAGTTCCGAATATTCCTCCTGTAGAGGGACAGGCCCGACTGAAAGCCAAAATCCGTTGCATACAGACCCTCGCAGCCACCTCGACCCCGCGCAGGGTCCATCCCGGCCCAGCCTTCGGGCTGCGCCCCGCCGTGGCGACGAGAGGGCCCCACGAGGGCCAAGCGAGCAGGGAGAACAGCGAGGAGGAGGCGGAGGAGGAGTACATCAGCGGTGGACAAAACTCGCTTTAGCAAACCTCCACTTAATGAAAACGGCCTGGGACTGAAACCGACGGACATGGACCCGCAAAAATGACGGCCGCGACGCCCTCTCGCGAACCGAAAACGGCCAATTCCTTAATCGATGTCAGGGTAGGAGGTCTATCCACCTCCGAGTACAGTCGGACTTGATTGGAGAGGACACGCGAGAGGACAAAAGACTCTTTCCGAGGGGCACATTGCCACAGGAATGCAGGAAGCATGGGTCGCAAGACACAGGACACGAGGGTACCCCTGATCTGGAAGGGTGGACCTAATAATCTGGGCCGCCTGTAAGACGCAGCCAATGTGGAAGCTACCTCAGAATGGGATGCATCGGTGATCTCTGAAAGCCAGCGGGGTCTGGAAGATGTGTACTGGGCGCGGTGGCCGTTTCAGAGCGCCCCGAAAAGTTCTGAGAGCGTTCGGGAACGCTATGGAACGACTTATCCCGATCCCATGCCTGCATGAAAAAGGCTCCTTCCTATCACCCCCCGTCCCGCCCGAGGTGGGACCCCGAACTCGCTCTTCGCCTGGGTGCACTCGTCGACCACCGACACGCCCTGAAGCCCGTGAAGGCCTCGCAGACGGCGGCGTCGCCGTCGAAACTATCGTCCAAATCGTCGTCGTCGGTGTCATAGTCGTCGTCGCCATTGCCGCCGCAGTCGCCGTCGCCGTCGCTGTCGCTGTCGCCGTCGTCGTCGCCGCCGCCAGCGCCGCCGCCAGCGCCGCCTCCGTCGTCGTCGTAGTCGTCGTCGTCGTCGTCGTCGACGTCGTCGTCGAAATTGCCCTTGCAGTCGTCGAAGAGGGAGAAAGGGGGGGGGAGAAGGGGGGCAGGGGGGGAGGAAGAAGGGCCTGAGAGGGGGGCGAAAAGGGAGGAGGGAGGGAAGAATGGCAAGAGCGGGAGGGATGAGGAGGCCTTGCGCGCAGGCCATGGCGCCCCGACGTCGCGAGGCTGACACACGAGCTGGAGGCGACGGCTGCATCCTGGGCCACCGCTCCTTTGACTCCGCAGGCGATTCCAATCGTCAAGCGCCGGAGGGGCCCGCCTCCCGTCCGACGGGGAAGCTCATTTGGGGTCCGGGGGGCGAGGGGTTGCCGAGCCGAGGCTCTCGGACGCTTCCGTCGGTCCTCGGCTCTTGGGATGCCTTCCACCGGCTGCGCCTCGCTGAGACCCCTCCGGGGGTTCCCGGAGGATTGTCCTGAACGGCACCCGGACGACCGAGCTGCGACCCGAAGACCGCCAGGGAACCGGCTCCGGGGGAGGGGGGGGGTGGGGAACGTCGGCCTGGAATCGGCGGTGCATCGCCGACAGATCGGCGGTACAGCCATCGTGCTACCTGAAGGAACGCTGGACAGCTAAGGAACAGAAGGTTTTTTCTCTCCACACGGCGAGCCTCGGCCACAGGTGGGTTCCCAGACCTGGATCCTGGATCCAAGGCACGGCCCGAGAGTCCGAATCATTCCAGGACCCCTAAACTGGCCATCGCTCGGACGTCCACTCCCTGTGCTTTTGTCGGTTTCGTGCGTGGATGTTTCGCAGGATGATCCAGGATGCTCCTTAATAATCCCCGCCGAGACAAACTGCGCAAGTCCGAACGATACCAACATAAGGGTCCTCACTTCCGCGTCTTCACTGCAGGCCTCCCCAACAGTAAGCCAGCACGCTGCTGGGCCATCGGGCACCTATCCGCGATCGCCGGGCGATTCGGGGTGGATGCAGCCATCCCTGACACCCGCCCAATCTAACGTTGCCCCTGACACAGCGGCCCCAATCTTCGCGGCGCGCCACAGGGGTAGGGGAAGGGAGGGAGGCTTCTCATCCTCCTTAGAAGCCTTCCTCCCTCCCCCTGCCCTTAGGTCGGTCATGTCCCCCGACAGGCGGATTTTGACAGAAAAATTAGAAGTACCCCGAACGTATTCAAACAAAACTAAACAAATCGTCCTCATATTATCTTTAACTATGTTTGAATACTCCTCCTGTAAAGGGACAGGCCCGACTTAACACTACCCCCTCTGCGCGTAGCAGAAATCCGAGGACCCTGTCGGCGTGTGTGAAGGTTTTTCCGTTCGAGTCGGGCTTTTCCGTTGGAGTCGTCGTCTCCGTCCTCCTCTGTTCCATTTGCCTTGATCCGTTCCCTCATATGTGCCGTCCAAAGCAAAATTGAACAACATAGGAATGTAATGGAATCGAAGGGAAGCCCCTTGCCTTTGATACCTTCCCCGCGCCAAGAAGGGGGGGGTCCCGGGGGTGGTCGCAAGGGGCTCCCGGGGGGCAGGTCGCCACCCAAATGCGCTGTTCCCCAGCGCGATTCCGAAACGCTCGCGCGGACCCCGCGCGGTCCCGAAGACCCCGCGCGGTCCCGGACTCGCCGAACCATCAGCCCAAGACGTCTTTACGGCCTCCAGACAGCGTTTCTTCCTCTTCGACTCCCGACCGCCGCGGCCGCGCCGCAGAGTGCCCCCCGGGCACCCGGCCTGCGCAGGCCTCCGCCGGCCGCCGCCCGCGCGCCGTGCGCCCCCACGGGGCCACACTGGACCCCCGGGGGCCTGGGCTGAGTTGCTCCCATCGTACTTGAGGACCACATCCCAGAAATCATTTCGAGCACCCAGAAGAGTGTCGAAAGAGTGTCGAGACAGTGTCGGGCGAGTGTCTCCCAGGGCACGACGCGTGAAAACCCTTGAGTGTTTCGGTGCTTTGTCGGGTGCTCGGTATTCTTTCTGGTGATCTAGGCTGAAGTAGCTTGGAACATCATCACCCAGGGGGCCGGGGCCCCCTCCCGGAGGCCGCCCGTGGGGGGTCGCAGCGAAAGGGGTCGGTGGGGTCGCGCCGCAGCGCCGCTGCATCGGCGGTGCGTCCCCGCGACTGCCACGCATCGGCCCTGGCAGCTGGAGGGTTTCTCCGGAGGGCATAGGCGACCCGGACCCCTCCTCCTCCTCCTCCTCCTCCTCCTCCTCCTTCCTCCTCCTCCTCCTCCTCCTCCTCCTCCTCCTACCTCGTCCTCCTCCTCCTCCTCCTCCGCTCCTCTCCCCTACCTCGTCTCCTCCTCCTCCTCCTCCCCTCCTCCTCCTCCTCCTCC